GGAACTTATCCTTTCTTGCTACCCAGAGCTCCATTCTGGTTTGGTTTTCTCACGCTTATGAATTTTTCCGAAGCCATTTGGCGTTCTCCTTCTCCTTTTTCCATTTGTTTCCGATCACATTCCATGGGTTAAGCTGTTTATCGCATCATGTCATTTTCTGGCCGCTCCCCCCTCGCGGCGTCCCACGCCTTTTTTGGCGCGCGTGAATTGCTGCGCCCGAAATTAATTCCGGAAGGCTAGACGCCGCGTATCTTCCCATTTTCCCCATATTGTTCCTGCTGCTCTTGTTTTCGTGATGCCACATATTATTCCACCACCGGATTCTTCATTCTCGGTTTTCAGGGGGATGGCCACCGCCATCGACTCGATCAAGGAGGGCGAGCTGCGAGAGATTTTCAAAGATTTTGATAAGAATGGCGATGGAAGGTGCAGGATTTCAGGGGTTTTTACCAGTTTTCTAGGATTACGTGTGAAGAGCTGGAGATGGCATTATTGCGACTAGGGGAACGCCCATCTAATACAAAAATCGGCCAGCTTATTCAGCAGGCTGATACTGACGGTAAGTGGATTTTTAAAGGTATCAAAGGTAAAGGAGCTTTTGAATTATCGGGGGGGGGGGAGTATCCAGAAACTCCTAGTAATATAGTATGCGTTTTTTAATAGAATTCAGCTATCTTTCAAATCCAGAAACTGGCGATAAATGTTTTAAAATCGTAAATTCGAAATTTTTGGTAGATTTCAATTCCTATTTTAATAAAACTTATTAATTTTTTTGGGTTGGTAATAGCAAAACGCTTTTCGAGATCTATCAGTATTGGTAGTGGAAAATTGGATACGGACAAAAAGTTGTTTTGCCCCCCCGATAATGCAAAAGAACCGTAAAAACGATCGCTATTTTTGCAGGAAACGGCGTGATCGATATCGATGAATTCCTGTCGGTGTGGCGACGTCAGATGGCCGAGCCGAACGAACAGCGCGAGCTGGCCGAGGTCTTTAGCGTAGGTTTACGGCGATTTCTTCGATTTTGGCCCTACAGGCCTAAAAACACGAAATTTAAATTTTAAATCTGTTTTTAAATGGCATGAAAAAACCCGAAACTAAAGGAAATAGCTAAACAGAAATTCAGAAAGCTTTGAAAAGCCTTGAAAGCAACTTTTCAGGTTTTTGACGTCGATGGTGATGGGTTAATCTCGGAAAGTGATCTCAATCAGGTAGAAAATCGTTTTTCAAAGTTACGAGTTTTTTGGATCGAGGAGAAGAGCTAAAAACGACATTTCCAGCTGTTCCTCAGCCTCGGCCGGCCTATACACGAGCAAGAAGCCTTCGACATGTTGATATTGGCCGACATCGACCAGGACGGCCAGGTCGATTTCCAAGGTACCGCATAAATCGCCGGGATTTACCCATAAATTTGCGGGGCCATCCGCCGGACGACCGGACGGGTGCATCTGTTGTCCAGGGCTACAAAAGCCTTCCAAAATTCGCCGGAAAATGCGGTTCTTTTGCATTATCGGGGGGGGGAAGATTATTTCTATGTCCAGAAATGCTAGGAGCTGAATTGAAACTGTTTTAATATTGTTTTTAGTAAAATTTAACAATATTTAAATAGGAAAAACGATCTAATAAACCACGAAAAATTTGAAAATTGCCGGAAACACGATATTTTTTGTATTTTTAATCAAACCATTTCAAGTTTTTTTTTGCGTTGAGGAGCAATAACAGTTTCTGAATTCCACCCTTCAGATAGCAAATTGTCCCCCCCATAACCCAAAGCACCAAAAACCCGATGCATTTTCAGAATTCTGCGCCTACATGAAGCGGGGCGCCGCGTTGAGCTAGGCGACGATCATGAAGTTCAAGGAGTACACGCTGCTATCACTGTCTACGGTTACCGCCATGTACATGTCAACGGCAATAAATTATTTTACAATTTTATATGATTTCTCTCTTCAAAAGACTTTTCAATCTATTTAAAACACCAGATGGTTACAGTCGCTTCGCGACTGCAACCATCTGGGCTTCGGGCTACCCTACATGTCCCACTCTACCACATCCTTTCCCACCTCCATCAATACCCCCCATAGCCGAAATCCCGTTCAAAAACTACCTAGATACCTTCCTGATGGCTTCAGATACCCCCCATGGCTGAAATCCCCTTCAAAAACTACCTAGATACCTTCCTGATGGCTTCAGATACCCCCCATGGCTGAAATCCCCTTCAAAAACTACCTAGATACCTTCCTGATGGCTTCAGATACCCCCCATGGCTGAAATCCCCTTCAAAAACTACCTAGATACCTTCCTGATGGCTTCAGATACCCACGATGGCTGAAATCCCCTTCAAAAACTACCTAGATACCTTCCTGATGGCTTCAGATACCCCCCATGGCTGAAATCCCCTTCAAAAACTACCTAGATACCTTCCTGATGGCTTCAGATACCCCCCATGGCTGAAATCCCCTTCAAAAACTACCTAAATACCTTCCTGATGGCTTTAGATACCTCCCCTAGCCAAAATCCCGTTTAAAAAACGAAAATAACGACCGACCGGATGGAATGAGAGAAAAAAAGAAATGAAATCCCCCGTGAAAATTTTCAACCACGAAACGCGCGCGACCTGGCTCACTATGCCCAAAATCACTCCAACCTCCGTCCCCCACCCCTTTTACTAAGGAGAAAACTTTCAAAGTTAATTTTAATAAGTTAAACTAAAACTTTTTCATAATTTTTTTATCAGTTTAGGGGTTTCTGAGGGCGCTCTATCCGAATCCGAAGAGAGCTAAGCTCTAGCTCCTTTCCCCTTCGAGTTGAATTCGGCTTCAGACACACGGACGGACGGACGTCTTAACTTTTTTATTATAGTTGATTAAAGATTATAGGTTTTCCCATTACGCCACTATATTCCATCACAATTCTTTGGACACATGGAATTTGTGCGTTGTTTTTGAAACTATAAACTTTCAAAAATCTTTACTAGAACTCTGTAAATACAGTTTCCAAAGACAAAAAAAGAAGAAAACATTCATAAACTGTTTCCAGGAAAATCATAGAAAAAATTCGACTAGAATTTGATAAAAATGGGGGGGGGGCGGCGGGAGGGGCGATTTTGAAAGAATGTGTCGTTTGAGTCATGGGGCATTTTGAAAATTGATTTTCATCGAGGAAAAAATGCAAAAACCGATGGAAAAGACTCCTAGAATGGAGGTACTGGACTGTTAGCGGGGGGGGGAACAATTCTTCCAGCTCATTTAAAACCTTTTAGATATAAAAAGCACATGAAAATTAGCCCCCCCCCGCTAACAGACCAGTACCAAAAAACTCTCTAGAGAATAGGTACAGGGCTGGTAGCGGGGGTTTCAACAATTTTCCATTTCATTTTACAGCATCTTAACTAGTCTTTGAGGTAGAAAAGCGTAAAAAAATCCTAAAAGTTAGCCCCTCGCTAACAGAACAGTACCGAAAAATGTGGAAAAACGAAAAACACAAAACAGATAGACAATTTAGATAGAGAGAGCAAGAGAGGGAGAGAGACTGGCGAGTACCCGGATATTTCTGTGACAGGAGTGTGCTGGGTGTGTGCGTGTTTTTGGATCGGCTGTGGGGACACGGTAGCTCGGGTGCTTTTTAGAAAACACCCCCTCTACCGTACCCCCCTTACCGCTTTAATGGGCCACAAAATGCGAATACAATTGAGCGCTCAATTGACGGGTATCTGGGGAAGGGAACTGTTGGGCTGTGCGGGCAGGGCAATGGCTCGAAAAAACAAACAAATAAAAATGGCATATTACGTAAAACTTTGGAATTGATATATCCCTAGCAAAAAATGACAAATAGGTCACCGGGGGCTTACTGTAATGGGGGCAACGGTTAGGAATGGGGGTTCTGGCGTGGCCGTGCGATTTGGAGGAACAGCCGATCGCCCGAGCTTTTCACGAAGGTCACCGCGGAAAGCTGCAATTTTTGGGGATAGAAAGGGTGCTCCAAAATTTGACAAACTTACTAGGTCATTACGTTAAAAAATCCATAATAAAATTTAGTTTAAATTTAGTTCGAATAACTTTAATAGATTAAAATTATGGTTAAAGCTATTTAAAATGGTTTTATTAAATTAGTTAAATAAAATTTTTAAGAAGTTAAAATTATTTAAGCAGTTGAATCGGTAGAATACAATAAAATTCTTTTCATAGAGGAAAATACATTAAAAGAACTTTGTCCAATTTTTAAGCTGAGCTTTTAACTTTTTTTAAGCTATTAGACAAATTAAAACAATTTTTAGCTGAATAATTTATTGGAATTAGGGTTGAAATAAAAGCTTTTTAATAGATAAAAATACATGAAAACAGCTTAAAATGATTCCTAAGCCAATTTTATTTGTGTTATGTTTAAAACGAAAAAACTAGTTCGGCAAAAATCTGAAAAAAAACTAGTGGTGAACACTTGTGAATTCTATAACCTGACCAAACTACCGTACCTGATCGGTGACGGGCAACGCGTTGACGGCCAAGATCCGGTCGCCAACCTTCAGCTTCTCGGCGGCGGCACTACCCGGTTGCAGTGAGGTGACAAGGATCCCTCGACTCCGCTTCCCGATCCCCATCCCGAGTTGTTGATCGGACTGCTGAAAAAGGAGGATGGTTCCGTAATTTGTCGCATATTGTAGCCTCGGAAATGGCGGAATTTGGAAAGTAGCGTAGCCTGTGAAAAAACCGTAATTTCTACGATACCTTTCTCAATTCGACGAGTATCGTTTCCGATCCCTCCTCCTTCAGGTCCTTGAGCAGCTCCACGTTAGAGGGGGTGGATGAGGAGGGTTGAGGGCTCGGTTCTTTCGGCATTAAACTACTCGTCGAGGGTTTGGCGGAAGCGGTTGGCTGCTGAAATGGGTACGGTATTGGAACGTATGAAAGGGTGTTGCTGAACGGCCTGAAGTTGTCGAAGTTGTCGAAAAACCTACCACATCTTTTGCAACGATCGGCTCCTCGGCCAACGGACTCAGCGCTCCGTCCCGATCCGCCTTCTTCACCTCGAGGGGACGATTTGCAGCTGCAGCGGGCGGCTCTTCCCTAAAATTTGGGCTTGATACCGTACCCCGGTGGATACCTAGGAGAACTGGCGGTTGTTGCTCTTGCGGCTTCAGCGGCGGCGTGGACTTTGTCGGTTGCTTCCGTCACCTTCCAACGTCCGACCTTCAGCGTTACTTTTCCGACACACGCCTAAATACGATGATGTTTTCAAGGGTTTAAGGTTCTTTGAATACCTTTAGCATTGCCGCAACTTCTTCTTGCATCAGATTTGCGACGTCGGTCCCGTTGACGGCCAGAATCTGGAGAGGATGGGGTTAAAGGAAGCGTGACAGAAGACCTGCGTTTTTCGGGAGGTACCTATGATTTCTTTCAATAGTTCACAACTTGTTCAAGCCGTTCAGGACAATTTTTTTTTGCTTATTGCTTGCGAAATAGGCTTAAAATGACTGCACAGTGAGTTCAAGGCGTTCAGAAAGGTATTTTTTGATCAGTAACGTCTCAAATGCTATCAAAAGTCCATAAGCCCAACGGCGTGAACGGCTTGAAGTCGTCGGATAAGCTTGAAACTCCTAGATCTTTTGAGCAGAGCTTTCTGTTTGGAGCTGAACTTGTTGAAGGCGATGACTGATCCGCGTAACTTCGAAGCTTCATAGAAGCCAATATTTTCGATTTTCCGCCCACCTGATCGCCAGCAAAAAGTCGGTGATCAGCCTCAGCAGCGCCGCCTCGCACCACCTCACTGACGTACACACCGGCCTCGTTTTTCCGGCCGACGATCGAAAGCCCAAGTCCTGAAAGACGAAAATGAGCAAATCCTGGGGCTTAAAAAATGCAAAGGATCAAAGCACTCACCCCTTCCCGGCTTCTTGGTCAACTCCAGCTCGATGATGTTGTAGATCTGGGTTGGGTCGAGGAGGCAGCGTTGGAGATTAACGTCCCGGTACACCTGGAGTTTTACCTGAAAATCAAATTTAGGGCACTCTGAGGAGCCGTTTGCAGGGCTGGTCATTTCAACCCCGGACCCGGTCCGGGTCCGATCGGACCGGGTCCGGACCCGGACCTACCCTAATTTGCATGGGTCCGACCGGGTCCGGGTCCGGGTGGGTCGGGTGGGTCCGGGTGGGTCCGGGTCATTTGCATGATTTCCGATGTATAGTTTTGATCCGTTCTTAGTCATTTTTCAAGGACTTGCTTTCCTATTGATTTGCTTTTGTGGGTTGGTAAGTTAGACCCAAACACGAGCAAAAAAACAGATGGACAACTATTCGTCCGTGATTAGGGATCCGATGAAGAAGAAGACGTAGCTGTTACATTTGCATCTTGCTGCATTTCCGGACCCGGACCTACCCGGACCCCACCCGGACCCACCCGGACCCATGCAAATTTATGCGGGTCCGGGTGGGTCCGGGTCCGGGTACGGGTCCGGGTCCGACCCGGGTCCGAAATGACCAGCCCTGGCCGTTTGTAGTCTGTAGCGTGGATTACGGTAGCATACCGGTGCAGCTCGAAAACCCAGATTTCATACCCGATTTGGGGTCCTTCGTAGGTGTTGGATAGCCGTCTCGTGCGTGACGTTGCGTAGCGATTGGTTGTTCACCTGAAATTCGCGTAAAAATCAAGGAATAACGGAATGATAACAACCCTCTGGAAGTTTGCAACGGTCGTACAGTTACGTACTTTGGACCCAAAAAAAAAATCAGGGATGCGATGAGTGGAGGGATACGGACAGTATCAGGGGGTGAAAGCAGGCATCACAATGGGGTATCTGACCTCTAGGACCTGATCGCCGGGGCGGAGACGACCATCCGCTGCCGCGGCACCGTCCGGGTAGACCTCGTGGATGACGACAGTACCCAGCACCGTGTCGATGCCGCCCACGATGGATAGGCCGAGGCCTTTGCCTTCCTGAAGTTAAAAAATTTAAATGAGAAAATCTGAAGAATTACTATTAAGTATAAAATCGCATATCATCTAGCTATAGATCAACGTAGTAGGTTGATTTCTCTCTCTCTCTCCCTCTCTCTCTCTCTTGCTTTTCAGGCTTGTCGCTCTCTCTTGCTCTCTCTAGCCTCGCTCTCTCGGGTCCTCCGCTCCATCTCTCTCTTTCTCTCTCTCTCTCTCTCGCTCTCTCTCTCTCTCTCTCTCTCTCTCTCTCACTTTCTCGCTATGTCTTTCTCACGCTCTGTCTCTCTCTCTCTATCTCTCTCTCTCCCTCTCTCTCTCGCTCTATCGCTCTCTCGCTCTGTCCCCAACTGACCTTGTCGATCTCGATGACCGTCTCCTTCCCGGTCGCAATTTCCACCGCCCGGTCGGCCACCGACTTTTTCCGCGCGTCGTTGACTGCAAAATTCGATTTTTAGACTTTTTGCAACTCGTTCGCCTTTCTCAAAATTAACAGGACCCCTGGAAATACTGGCAAATTTAATGAGATCTGCCTTCCCTTCAGCCGCCTGTTCATTATCTTTCCGGGGCCCTTTTTGGCCCTCTTTTCTGGCCCTCTCCCCTCCCCTTTAAAGAAGAGGCCAATGGGAATTCGCTTTCTATTAGCTTTTCGGGCCCTAGCTGGGGGGCGGACGAGGAGGTGAAGCCGACGTAGTGAGGTCAAAATGAAGCCCCCCCCCCCCCCCCCCTGGGCGGCCAATTCGATTCTTCTTCTCTCGCCTTCCCCCTGATGGCGCGCAACCCGCAAAATGGCCAAATCGGCTGCTGGAGAGGAGGGAGAAGAAGGTGGCTATAGGGAAGTAGTGCAACAAGGAGGGCACTTTATAGCGCGGTGGACGTTTTAAAGGAACGTGGAAAGCAAAATCCAAGGCAAAATCTGCCGCCACCAGGGTCTTTTCGAGGTTTTTGGACGCCAAAAAATTTTAAAAAACTTTCAAAACAATTTTTTGTTCAAATAAAATTGTTGCTAATTTTAGGGTTGCGCAAAACTTAAAAGTTGAATGATTAAATTTAATTATAAATAAGTGCTTGGATGAAAATATAAATAATTACAAAAATTGAACAAATTCAAAAATTAGAATTTTTGTAAGTTTTAAAGTTTTTTAGGCATAAAATCGCGCTTGGAATATTGTAGAATTTTTTGTAGAGACATTTCTAAAAACATCAGAAATTTGCATGTAAAAAATCGCTTCGCCGCACCCCTGGATTTTGCAGCCCATTCAAAACCTATGAAAAGTTCCGTGCGAATACGGAGACCACAGTAGCATTTCGGAGCTACGGTACCTCACTGAAACTCTAAAAATTCTACGCAAATGCTGAATTTCCGCTTTATACCCTCCAATGACCATTAAATTATGCCCGCAACCGCCGTATCATTGCCTCAAATACCGTAGAAAATAGTAATTTACTGATTTTTAGATTTTATGCAAATTTCATGCCCTTAAGGCGGCCGGGGATCAAAGCAGCAGCTCACGTCAGCGCATATTTTTGAATCGCTGTTTAATTACAGGGTCGCTGTGTGGGGAGAGAGAGAGAGCGAGAAAGAGAGAGGGAGAGAGAGAGCATAATTTGTGATTTGTTCTCCAGCGGAATGGGAGGGAAGGAAGGGGAGAGCCGACCTAGCCCCGCGGAATTTGCCCCCTCCCTGAAGCGGGGGCTACAATTTGGCTAATTATTGGGGGCAAGGCAAGGTTTTTTTCTTAAGAATGTATACACATAGGCGTGGAATTAGCCAAATCACGGCACCTAAGGTTTTCCAGCCTATTTAATGACCTTAAGGGTGCTTTGAGGAGCAGAAATATCCATTTTCCGGTGTTTAAAGGGCGGTGACACCGAAAAGTATTAAAAAAGGCTTTTTTAGTGGTCTAGAAAGACCGTGGCACCCCCAAAATTTTGAGAATTAGGACCTGCTGGATTTTATAAAATTATAGCTTGAAGATCACGAACCTTGCGGCGAGAGGGTGGCCTGCTCGGTGGGCGGACGCATCTGAAAAACGAATTAAAAACTGAATTGATTGGATGCATCAGAAAATCTGAATTTTTGATCGATTCAAAAAAATTTTGTTTGAAACACGACGAAACGGAAATTTTTTTAGTATATTCAGACATACAGACGCAGCTCGGTATCATACGAGAGAGTAGGGAGGAGAGAGAGAGAACGAGAGATAGAGAGAGAGAGAGAGAGAGAGAGAGAGAGAGAGAGAACGAGAGATAGAGCGAGCGAAGAACCAATCATATCAAAACCCATTCTTATAAAGCTATAAAACCACGAAGAATTGGCGTTTACAGGTGCAAGATCGAGCGAGAAGTGGAGAGTGAAATAACAGATCGGGAATAGCAGACATAAAACAGCAGAATACGGGTCAGTTGCTGCGTTTAGGACCTGAGAAACCTCAGCGGAATTAGTATCGTCACGTAGCCTAGTCGTATCTATTAATGCGCCGAAGCTTCACTCCCAGCTAAGCCCACACCAAGCCCAAAATCTCCAAAAATACGCCAGACTTTTTTTGGTCGGCGTCCAGCCGCACTGGATCCTAATCCGCGCCCGCCCGCGCTACGCCAAAATTCAACACCCCACCACAACAGACCTCCCAAAAAAAGCCGGCCGGGTTGGCTTAGTGCCCAATTTGTCAGAGGGCCCAACACACAGGGCCCACGTCGTCAAAATGAGACGACCAAGGGGGGAGGGCCTAATCCGAAGGGGGGGAGGCCTCAGAAGGGGGATCTACTCGATTCGTGGAAAGGTGTCCCCCTTCTAGAGGGCCCATAGCAGAGGGCCCACAGAGGGCCCAACAACGAGAAATAGGGGCAGAAATTGAGAGAGGAGGGACAGGGGAGCGGGATAGAGAGAGGGCAGGGATCGATGTCTTCTGGCATACACACATACACACAGACATACACACAGCGTGTGTATGTGTGTGTGTAGAAGCGGGGCTGTGGAGGGCCCACCAAGGGCCCTCTCCATCCCTGGGCCACTGGGCCCCCTCTGGGCCCCCACCCACGCAGAGAGAGGGGGAGTGACAGGAGGAGATGTCCACTTTTAAAGGGATGGTGACAAGGGGAGGGAGCAAGATCATGAATAAGAGCGAGAGCGAGAGAGCGAGAGCACCAAAGGCGGTGATCAAGTAGCAAAGAGCACGACATAGAGCCTGAGCTAGCGAAAGTTAGGCTGCGAAAGGCAGCGAAAGCTAGAGATAAGTGAGTTGAGAACGAGAATTGAGAGAGGCGGTATGCGAGAGAGAGAGAGACAGACGGAGAGAGCGAGAGAGACAGACAGACAGAGCGGGCGAGAGAGGGCGTGAGAGACAGACATACAGAGAGAGAGAGCGAGAGTGAGATAGTGTGAGAGGCCTAAAAAATAGCAAGATAGCGAGGCCGAACGAGAGTCGAAAGAGACATGAGAAGAAGAGATAAAGCGCGAGAAAGTGTCAGGGGGACAGGGACAGCGAGAGAGAGAGAGAGAGAGACAGACATATACAGAGAAATTACAGACAAACCGACAAAGACAAACGATCAGACGCAGCTATCAGCCCTTAAACCCTGACCCAACTACCGTACCCGATCGTTCCGTGGTGATGGAGGTACAGTTGGTTGTGCCTTCTCGGGCTTCTCCCCGTCCTCAAACCGGACAGTCGGCTGTTCCCGTTCCTTCGGTTCGGCCTGTCCGTTTAGGACAACCGGCGCAGGAGCAGGGGGAGCTTCTGGCTTTTCTGGGGCGGGTAGCGGCTAAATTGAGCGTTGTTTGTCCGGTATTGTACGGTACGTCAATAGGCAAGTATCGGGACTTGTTTTGTCAGGGGTTTAAAGGGACGGCAAAGGCACGATTGCCCGTCCCTTAAAGTGAGCGTCACAGTAATTAGTAGAAACTCACTTCCGGCTGTGGTCTCCTCAAGACGAGCAGTTCCAAGTAGTCCTCATCATTGGCAGTCCGGATGTGGCCTGAGGCAACAGCGGGGGAGAGTCCGACGAGCACCTTGCCGTTCACCTGAAAAGAAGCCTGAAAGCTGCCCAATTCCCCGTACCTCAAGGATCTCGTCGGCTGGTCGGATCGGTAGTGGACAGGCTGGGTGGGTGGAGATGACCAGGATACCATGAGGGAGACGATCCGTGGAGTCGGCCAGAGAGATTCCTGAAAACGCATTTTAAAGGAAAGTGTAAGGTCTAATTGTGCTCGCCTGCAGCTTGTCTTTAGCGAAAAATGAAAGTAAAATTCTCACCCAATCCAGCCTCCGGCACGCCGCGCAGTTGCAAGAACAACACCTCCCCCGGTAGCGCCGAGTACTTCTGGTCGATTTTGCCTGAAGAGACGTTAAAAACCACCTTACGGCTTACCTCTGGTATATCCAAACGTGGATGGGGCCTCACAATCGGACGGTCGACGTCGGAGATACGCGGCACTTTCCTCTTCTACCCCATCCACGATGGGGTCATCCACCGGTGCCGGCTCGACTTCCTGAAGTTGGCTTGGTTTTTTTTAAGCGACTAGCAAAGCAATAAATCTGAGTTTTAAAGGGACTAGGAAGTTGATCAGCTCAAAAACTGACGGCTTCAGATGTTGAGGCGATGTTGGCCAGCTCGGCATGGATGCTGCGGAGGGAGGGGGAATGGCCCGAGTGGATCGAGTGATCAGAGACGCGGGATTGGAGTGATTTCTTGGACTAAAACGGAATTTTCGGAGTTTTCGTGAATTTTCTTGTTTTTTATGGAACCAAGGCTTCCAGAGCCCTTTAAAATGCAGTGGCGCCGCAAAATTGTAAATTTAGCCCTTGAATGTGTCTATAGGCGCGTCGGGGAGCCAGAGCTTCAGTGAGCTCACCCCTTGTCCGTGCTTTTAAAGCAAAAGTAGGACACGATTCAGCGCTTTTTTGAAGTTGATACTTTCAAGGAAACTCACCTCAATCGTGGCCTGCCTCTGCACACTCGGCTTCACCTCACTACTATCGACGGATGGCTGCTTTTTCGGGATCGGCTTTGGCTTCTCCTCGTGGACGATCACTTGGTCATGGTGCTAAAAATGTTATTTATTTTGCTTCGTTGTTGAAAGGGACTGGAAAGCCGCAAGAAAGTACGATTCTACTAAAATCGACCAAAGACTTACCAAAACGACGGTCTCCATCGGCTCGTGAGCTCGAACAGATGCCTCAACTCGTATTGAGCCGATTGTTGAGGACGAGGTGGACGAGATCATTTGCTAGAAATTTATTTCGATCATTTTACTTCATTTTTATACCTGATGCGGGGCGAATGAGTGCAGGGATTGGAGCACGAACTTCACGGGGTTTGTCGCCGAGCGTATAGCTGCTACAGCTTCTTCATGAGATGCCTCTCGGAGGTCGACCTCGTTTACCTGGAAAGCCGGGTTTAAAGGGCTGTAGAAGCGAAGTATCTGGCCGTCCGGATATGTTGAAATCGAGTTCTTGATTAACAGCTCAAATTCAGAAAAAGAAAGCTCCAGAAAATCCGCTAAATTTTGCCTTCCATGCCCCTTTAAAACTCACCGATAGCACACGATCTCCCATATTGATCTGGCCGCTCTGCCCAGCCGGACTATTTGGCAGCACGCTTTTGATGAAAATTCCGGATACCGTATTCCCGGTGCCTAAAAAATTAACACGATTTTCGAAGGCTTTTCACAAACCTGGCAACCCACCCTTTTGAGACACCTCCACCCGACCGCCCACGATGCTGATACCTGAAACAAAGATGATTTTTAAATGACTAGATTTTTCGACTTCGAACAGCTTTTGGGGGACGATTTAACACTTACCAAACGATTTATCGGGCTCCCGGTTGAGGATGACGGTCCGCGCCTCACCCCACAGCTTTGAGCGCATCAGGGCGACGCGCGCCTGGAACCGGGGGAATTAGGATGGGTTTAAAGGGATAGGGAAGCGTGGTATAAGTAAATTTCATTGTTTGTACGGTTTGAAACTGACGACGCTCCCGTTCTCTCTCACTCTGTCTCTCTCTCTCTGTCTCTCTCATGCTCAATCGCTATACCAAAGCTTCTCTCGCTTCTATAGCTTTCTCTCAGTTTCTCGTTGTTTCGCGTTCACTATTGCTCTCTCGCTCTCTCTCGCTCTCTCTCTTCTCTCTCTCTCTCTATCTCTCGCTCTCTCTCATCTACGGTAGCCGGATCTCACAACTTCTCGCAATTTCTCTCGCTTTTTCGCGTTCTCACTGTGATTTGGTATTCTCGCGCTTCTTCTCACGCTTTCTATCACTTTCTACGCCTCTCTCTGCTCTCTCTCTCTCTCTCCCTGTCTCTCTCCCTCTCCTCTATCTCACCTGCGTCTCACTCCCCGTGCTCGGTGTCCGCGTATCAAGTGCAGGTCGATGATGTTGATGTGGTAGTGTTGTAGGTGGTTGTTGTTTCATTATATTCTGCTCAATCTGCTCCATTGCCTTATCCTCACTCGCCGTCTCCGCATCCGCTTCTTCTCCAGAGGTGGTGGCCGAGCCCTAAACCATTAATTTCAGAATCGTATTTAAATTTTTACCTCGTTCTCCACCCGCCCGGCTTGTCCGAGAAGGCGTCGTCTCGCTTCTTCTTGCTCAACTTCGATCTGAAATCGAATTGTTCAGTTTGAGATGAAGTGTATTTTTGTTATAACTAATTTAAATTGCTTTATTATTTAGCCAAAAACATAGTTTATAGCATGTTTTTAACGCCCTATTAAATGCCATTAAAGAAATTCTAAAATTATCCAAGACTACAAACCACAGTCTCCTCCCAGGCCGCTTCAATGACACCGTCTACAACCCGGCGGATGACGTCCGAACCCGGAGAATCGACGAGGGGCAGATGACCAGAGACAATGTCTCGAACCTCGGGTATAGGGGAAGAGGGCTGAGGAGGAGGAGATGAGGGAGAGGGAGAAGCAGCTCGAGGCGGGGAGCACGAGGGACTGGCCTTGGATGATGATGATGGGGTACTGGATGGGGGACCACGGGTTGGTTGGGCTGGTGGCGATGGCGGCGCTTCGGAGGGACGTCGGGGAGGTTCCCTAAATGTAGCAATATTTTTTATATGACGGATGTGTTAAAAGCGCATTAATGAGGGCGAGGCGGCTCGAAAATGAATTTCTAAGGTTTTAGAGGGCTTTACTGCCTAAACTCGAGCATCCCTAGCTAAAACACGCAATATCGAAGCGCTCCACCAAAGAGCAAAAAGTTCCGTACCGGGCAGGAGTCAAACCCGGATCGTGTGGGTGTGAAACGAGTGCTTAACCAATGAGCCATACCCATGGACGGGCCGGTCGCGGGTCTCCCTCAATACCGCCTTTGCGCTCTTGGTACATTGGTTAAGCGCTCGCCTCTCACCCACACTACCCGGAGTTTAACCCCCAGCCGCCGCCAGATTTTTTGCGTTTTGGTCAGAAGCTCCGAATCGCCGCTACAAACCTTTTGGCCGTGCTCCAGTCCGGTGTCTGGGTGAGGACGTCGAGCTGGAGGGCCGAATCCTGGAGGGCTTGCTGCAAAAAGAACAATAATTTTGTAGGAAAATTAAAAGTTAAAATTTTTTTGAAGTTTAAGGGCCAGAATTCGAACGCGGAAGCCAGGAAATGGCACAGCTTCAGATTCATTCAGGCATTTTGTCAAAGGAGCTAAAGGGTTTTTGGGGCCAAACGGGGGGAATGGGTGGAGGGAGATGTGGCTTCTTCTCTTCTTCTTATTTTTCTGGCCATGAAAAAAGAGAGGCCCCTCCTCGTCGTGGCTAATGGAAGTGGATGGAAAGAAGGGGGACACATTATGCACACGGCTAATCACTGGCTGGGTGGGGGAAGCCGAAGAGAGACTACGAACCGCTCCTATCGCCACCACTTTTTCCACTTGAGCGCTCGGATTTTTTGGGTAGATTGAATGATGAATGGGAAAAGTAAAATTTATGATTTTACAAGCGCTTCTAGAACAATGTACAAAATGAAAAACGATTATTTTTGGTCAATTTCATTTCTGGCATTCAAAATTCATATCAAAGAATTTCAAAATTTCAATAAAAATAAGTCGTTGTAAACTTCTTATGATTTTACATTTTACACACATTACGTGAAGCTGTAGACCGCGTAATTTGCTTTAAAGAGGAAAGAAAATAAGGAATTTCTTATTAATAGGGATTTACAAAAAATTGGTTTTGCTCGGCTGAAAACATTGGAGTACGGTATTTATAAAAAAAACGAAACGACGAGACCGAAAAGAACCAAAGACCGGAAAAACGAGCGAAAAAACATTCAAAAACGAAAAGCTAAGTTCCGGTGTTATTTAAATGAGGATTTTTATGAATTCTGTATTTTTGAATTTTAACACTTAAAATACGGCATTTTGAAAAACTTGAAAAATTTCGATAAAAAGTTACTATCAACTAGCAAATTTTAAAAAATTTTGCCTTTCTTGCAAAAAAATTGAAGCGCATTTCCTTAAAGATCAGAATCTGGAAAAAATATGCTAATTACGTCGTAGATGCACCCAATTTGCATGACACTATCTCAGAACTACAGCAAGCGCTGAATTAAATTATTTACTGCCTTGAATTTATACAAAGCGCCGTCGCAAAATTCAGCGCGGACGGCGAGGCGGGTGCGGAAAATCGCGCCTCGTTTTTGGGCTGTTGCTGGGCCGTGCCAATTGATTGTGGTGAGAGAATTCATCGAAGAGAGCCGCCCCACCCTGGCCTGGCCTCGGATAAATGTTTTTTTCCTCCTCCTCCTCTTCTTTTTCTGGCACCGCTCTCATGCCCCCCTTCCAAACATTGCATGCCATTGGGGGGCATGGGGAGGAAGGGCTCCTTTTAACCCCCCTTGGAAAATGAGGGGGTTTGGAGCCGGATAGGGAAATCTGAATTAAGGGGATTGGGAAAAAGTGAGATCAGGAATTTCTAGAAGTCCGGCAAGTTTTTTCTCTCACTCTGTCTCTCTCTCTCTCGCTCTGTCTCCCGCTCTCTCTCACTCTCTCTCGCTCTGTCTCCCGCTCTCTCTCCCTCACGAGCCCGCGCACATTCTCTTTCTCGCACTCTCTCTCTCTCTCTCTCTCTCTCTCTCTCTCTCTCTCTCTTCTACCTAGTTAGCGCTCCATCTCTTTCTCTCACTCTCTCTCTCTCTCTCTCTCTCTCTCTCATCTCTCTCATCTCTCAATTAAACGAGAGGCAGAGTGAGGGCGAGAGAGAGCACGAGAGAGAGAGAGTGAGCAAGGGCGAAAAGCAAGAGAGATAAAGTTAGCGAATGATAGAGCATGATGAGCATGAGCAAGAGCTGAATAAAAATTGAGCGAAAATATCGTATTTTCAGCCGGAACCCCGAAAATTACTGCATAGTTGGGATCGGGAAGCCTAGAGGATGCGATGCCTAAATGGGCACCTAATACCGAGCTACCCGGGAATTAAACGGCAGCCGCCGGGCAGACCGGAAGAGGCGGAGTGAAACGGAAAATGGCTGAAAAATGAGGGGATGGAGGATGGGGTAAGTGAATGAATGCATCGGGTGCTGCTGATTAAAAGCCAGTAGTATTAGATAGAGGAGAGTGAACGAGGGTCAGTGTGAGAGAGAGAGAGAGAGAGAGAGAGAGAGAGAGAGAGAGAGAGGGAGAGAGAGAGATGGAGAGAGGCCTAGAGTGGGAGATAGAGAGGAGAGAGCCAGCCAAAGCGAGAAACAATTAAACAGAGAGAGGAAGAGAGAGAGAGAGAGAGAGAGAGAGAGAGAGAGGGAGAGAGAGAGAGAGGGAGAGAGAGATGGAGAGAGGCCTAGCGTGGGAGATAGAGAGGAGAGAGCCAGCCAAAGCGAGAAACAATTAAACAGAGAGAGAGAGAGAGGAAGAGAGAGAGAGAGAGAGAGAGAGAGACAGAGAGAGAGAGAGAGAGAGGGGGGAGAGAGAGAGAGGGAGAGAGAGATGGAGAGAGGCCTAGAGTGGGAGATAGAAAGGAGAGAGCCAGCCAAAGCGAGAAACAATTAAACAAAGAGAGAGAAAGAGAGAGAGAGAGAGAGAGAGAGAGAGAGAGAGACAGGGAGAGAAATAGCAGCGAGCGTACACACCATTTAATCCTTAAAAAATTCGGAAGAGGGAAGAACCCCATTGTCGGAAGCGTTGAAAGGCTTTCCGGGGCAGAGGGAAAGCTAAAAAAGAGGACGGAGCTGGTGGCCATGGCTAGCTAGTGACTGCCATGCCCCGTCCGTTGCGTTCCACATATTCATTGGTCGCCCAAGCGAGAGACGGCCATATCGGGTCGATGGCTTGGAAACAACGACTAGGGGGAGATGGCATTTTAGAGGGTCGAGAGGGGATTTAGGGGCTTTTAAAGGGGTGGAGACAGGACGGAAATGTTCTCTTTATCCGGTTTTTGCTGACTTTTTATCTATCAAACCTTCTCCCGCCTCTCTATCCCATCTCTCTTTCTCTCGCTCGCTCGCTCTCTCTCGCCCCCCCTCTCTCTCTCTGTCTCGCTTTCTCTCTCTCTCTTTCCAGCTCTCCATCACCGACTTTTAAAAAAACTCTAAAGTCCTCAATTTACCAACCTTCATGACTTCCGCCAACAACTCGTCAATAATATGATTCAATATCTGCCGTAGCTGCTCAACCTCGGCGTCTAAATCAAGCCGTTCAGAGTCGAACGATATCTCTTGAACCTGACGGCGACGTCGGAGCCGGTGTGGGCGGAGCCTCTGTCAACGACGTCGAAATGGCCGTTGACACTTCCAGCTGGCTGTCCACGGATGGCTTCCGGTCAAGCGCACCCCGGTAGAACTTCGGGAACACCCTGAAGTCGTTCTTGAAGATGACCCTCTCAATCCCCCTCCTGTCACCATCCCTTTAAAATATTCTGTTCATCTCCCATACCTCGGCGACAATCTGTTCAGCTCCGGCGTTTGTGGCTCAGCTTCCTTTGCAAAGCGCTCCTTCCAGATTTTCGCGTCCGCCCCGGTGATGTAGATGATCCTAGAGTCCGAGGTGGTCAGGGTAAAGCCCGGAATCCTTACGTGCAGTTGGTTCCGACAAGGTTGGTGCGCTTCAGGATGGCCCTCGCCTGTGAGCTGGTCGAGTTTCGGAGAGGTTCGTGGTTGATCTTGACGATGTAGTCGCCGACCTGAAGGGATTCAGTGGTTTAAAGGAACTTTAAAGGGACAGTAATTTCCCGAAGTGTGTAATCTGTCATTTTTGACTTTTTGAGCAGCAAGTTTTGAGCACGAGCAAATTACTCAAACCCCAACCTGAAGACGTCCATCCCTTGCTATCGCCTTCTTCCCGCAAATACTCTTCACCACACACCCGTTGACGCCTTTGTCCCGCTCCGCGTCTACCGTAATCCCTAGAAAACAGAGGTGTACGGTGGAAACTTTCGGAATTTAACCTAGCGGTACCGGTCCCTTTTGAACCTTGATCGTTCGCTCGAGGTGCGCGGGCAGGTAGATGACGTCGTACGCCCAGGAGCCGCTGGAAAAGTGGAAAATCGAAGTTAGTAATTGGGTTAAAGGGGGAGTGACAAGCCGCAGCTCTTTCTCAAAACTCAAAACTCACGCTAATCTCATTGGTGAGGCCGGGGAGACGGATCTGGAGGAGCATGGCGACCAGGAAGTCATTGACGCCATCGACTGAAGCAAAAAATGCCTTTGGAATTTATATGAATTTCCCGAAGTGATTGTTGCTCTATCTGTTGCTCTCGTTAGCTCTCTCACTCTCTCGCTGTCTGTCTCTCTATCTCGCTCTCTCTCTCTCTATCTCGCTCTCTCTCTCTCTCGCTCTCTATCTCTCTCTCTCTATCTATCTCGCTATCTCTCGCTCTTTCTCTATTTCTCTTGCCCTCTGTCATCCGTTCTCTCGTTCTCGTTCGTGCTCCCGTTCTCTCTCTCTCTTTCTCTCGCTCTCTCTCTCGCTCTCTCTCTCTATGACTCCGATTAGTGCTTCGATACAAAACTAGTTGATTATCACGGGGATGTGCTTGCAAAAAAACATCCAACGCACCTGGTGGAGCTGTTTCCACTAAATTAGTAGCGGATTTTATTGAGGTTGTTAATGAAATTATTAGTAGTTTTGTATATTTGAAAAATGATGCAAGTTAGTAGTTAGTACAGTATCGTATTTGTCATTTTTTATTTTGGCAAGGCATGGCTATGGATAAAATCCATAGACACCTTACACTGCCTGCCTTACACGCCCCTTTAAAAGCAATTTTAGCTACAATCCTAAAACCAAAAATCAACAAAAATAGAGTGCTAAAGGAAAAGTGCAAAAAGGGGGAAAGAGGACACACGGCAAAAATTAGGGCCAAGTGGGGTGAGTGTATTTTAGGACCCTAAATGGTGCCCTCCCCGAAAAGGTCTCTACCGTACCCCGGTGATGCTGGAACGTCTCGAGTATGCCGATGGAGATCGAGATGGATGCGCCTGAAATATCACCAATCACCTCACGTCCATTTTAAAGGGCGCGGCAAGGGGGAATTAGACAGCGTAATTGGATGGAAGTAACGTTTTAGGCTCAACATTTCATGGCTTGATCGGGTCGCAATAGGCTATCACCGCAAATGGGTGGCGTAACCGGCTCTCAGTAGATTTTTTCCTAGCATTTCATAGCGTAATCGGATGTCACCAATTTGCGCAAATACTGGGGCAAATTTGGTCTCGTAATCGGATTGCAATAGCATTTTTGGCTCAAAATTTCATACCGTAATCGGATCATCAATTTACGCTAATTCCTGAGCTGAATTTTATATCGTAATCGAATAGCCAGGCAGCTTTTTTGGCTTTTAAAGGGACTTGGAAGCCTGGAATTTTTCCGGAAACATCGTTTTTTTGGCGTAAATGCATCGTTAAACTCCTATTTTGCTTTAAATCGATGCAAATTTGGTTGCCAAATTACATGGCGTAATCAGCTATCCGTTTAAGGCGGCTGGTAGCGCGATTTCAGTCGCGTAATCGAATATCGTCGATTCGACTCGACGCTCCTAAAACGGGATAAGAGCTTAAGAGCGAGAGGCAAGCGTCGCGGCTTTGGAACACCCCTGATACCGTCCCTTTCAAGATTGAACCAAAACCCAGAAACCCGCTAAAGTATAGACCCCCGGAAAGCAGACCAGAAGAAAACAGGCGGCACCACGCAAATTAAATACAGCGAGCACACGCGGATAGGGTGGGAAGGGAAGGGAAAAACAGTACGGTATAGCCGCCTCGATTTAAGGTCAACTGAAGCGAGAAAAAGTAACAAAAATCTGGGGCTTTGAACATACCTGTAACTTGCTGAATTCGCCGCCTGTCAGCCAGACAGTCTCTTCAGATGAGTGGATGGAGCGGGCCTGCAAAGAGAGGTTGTCTCTCTCTCTCTCTATCTCTCTCTTTCTCTCTCTGTCTCTGTCTCTCTTTGTCTTTCTCTCTCACTCTTGCTCTATCGTCCAAAACTCACTAATCGTCCACGGTTGGGACTGGCACTCTTGGCGAGATGCCGCTCGGCCCGGCTCAACGTCGGCCAGCCACTGCTCGGGACCGATTTCTGAAAACAGGATTTAATAAACAATTTCATAGCTAAAATAGATAGCTCAAAAGTGGGAGAGAGCGAGAGAGAGGAGAGAGAGGGAGAGAGAGAGAGAGCGGGAGAGAGAAAATAAGAAATCGTCGATATTTTTAAGACACCACTTGTGAGGTAGACGAATCGCGGTCACGTTCCGGCTAGTAGATGAACGTCGCTAGCTAACTGTTCAAATTGTTTGAATGGAATTTATACGAGGGAAAATGTCTTTCGAAAATGCGAAAAGCTCTGATATTTAAAAGCACCGATTTCGGCCCGGAATATGATTAGAAACCCGCTAGAACAGCGAATTATACAGTAGGGACCCGTAACAAGATTAAAAATCGACTAAAAATAAAGATAAAATTTGAATCAGTGTTGTCGAAAAGTTCATGGATAATCAAAAATAGATTTATGGCTACTAAAGGCTTCAAAGCACCGGTCGTACGGCCTGGCACCGAGCCAAGGAGACGACCAGCGAGGGCTGGCCGGCCGGGCTAATCCTCCGTTGACGGGATTCTTCTCTCATAGGACCCACCACGACCATCCAACCATCACCAGTGGCCCACTACTAATTAGGGACCCATCGACATTTCTATCTATCTATCTCTCTCTCTCTCTCTCTCTCTCTCTCTCTCTCTCCTGACCGGGGAATTGAAAGCTAATGTCCAAATTTCGGGCCCAAATTCTAAAATGAAATGCCGGCCAAAAACGGCCAGGACGAGAGCGTCATTACGACTGGATGCACCTGTTTTTGCCTACGGGGCCTTTTTGTTGGATCCCTCAAGCGGGAAGGGCTAAAAACAAAACGCGGCTGATTTTGAGCGAGTTAGTCGAGGGTGAAGCGGAGAATTCAACGGATTGGGAAGGGAGTTTTTGGCGAAATTGAGAGAGAGAGAGAGAGAGAGAAATATGAGAAAAGGCCATCTTTTCTAAAAGCCTAGCTTTGTTCCGCTAGTATTATTTTTTTAATATGAACAGTGTGACTTGTTTTATCCGTTTTTTTTTACAGTTCTTGAACGTAGAAGCGCTATAAATTTTTTAAATTACAAAGATGTCGATTTTTCGACCAAAACGCCCGATTTTCGATCGAAAATATCAAAATTTCTGAGTTTCCGGATTTCGCTTCCGCCTGAAAAATGGAAAATTTTGCAAAAATATTATTAAGACACTCTTTATGACGTTTCTAGGCATTTCTGGACATATAAAAATCCTCCCCCCCCCCGATAACGCCAAAGAACCAAAATAACTCCATGCAAAAAGCTGCAGCTTCTTATTGCGCAGTAGCAAAAAAGTAGCCGAGCCCATCGGGGTGTCCAGGAGAGGGTGAAGATTAGATCGAGCAGAGATGGCGAGCGAAGGAGAGAAGAGAGAGAGAGAGAGAGAGAGAGAGAGAGAGAAAAAAAGAGAGAGAGAGAGAGAGAGAGAGAGAGGGAGAGAGAGAGAGCGTGAGAGAGACGCGGGCCCAAATCGGGCCCCCTCTCCACCCTCTAGAGGCTCCAATTGGAGGGGCCCATATCAATGCGTGGTCCTGGGCCCACCAAAAAAAGCCGTCAAAAAACGGGTGGTCCCAGGAAATTGATATGGCCACAATTAGTCCCGGGTTCGCTGGGCTGGAAATATTCAGACCGGAAAATGGGTTCGGGTAGGGTTACAGGGGCCGGGCGGGAAATTGGGGAAAATGAGACGAAATACATGGGTTTTTGAATTTTGGGCTAGAGAGAGAAAGAGAGAGAGAGAGGGAGAGAGAGAGAGAGAGAGAGAGAGAGAGAGGAGAGAGAGAGAGAGAGAGCGATAGTGGTAGAAGAAGAGGGAGTGTGAGAGCGAGAAAAAGTGATAGAAAAGAGGGAGAGTGAGAGCGCGAGAGCAAGACAGAGAAAGAGAGCGAGAGAGGGAGAGAGAGTGAGAGAGAGCGAGAGAGAGCGACTTTAAAAACACGAAAATTAAAAATTTTACTATTTTTCCGAACTTGAACTCAAAACGCAAAAAGTTCTGCTCCGCATGGGGTTCGAACTCGGATGCTGCGCGTGGCAATCTAGCCGATTACCAGTCAGCTACTTGAGATTTTTTAGAGAGACAATCTTAAAAATTAAGGCCGACCATAGCCTCCAGATTTTCACAGAATTTCTCTGGAAATTGGCTCCACAGCACTATGCAAATTCCGGAAACGAAACGAGGCGTATAAAATGGAATATTTGGGGGTTTGGCAGCAGCCCGGAGGGGGATTTGGAGGGCAGAATTGTGGGGGGATTCAAATCCTCACACCCACCATTCCATTCCACTGCCAGGGGGGCATCGAAGGGCCAAATCCAGGCACTGGGGGGAGGAGGAGGATCTAATTGGCTCTTCAAGGGGGTGGATTCGACAGGATGGTGGTCTAGAGAAGCGAGGCTTCCTGACGTAAAAGCTTTTACTACATATTATTGTTGATTAAAGCGAAAAAATTCTAAATTTTTTAGTTATTTTTATCTTTATAAAATTTATAAAATTAAAATTTTTAAATTCAGGTGTAAAAAAAATAAAACCATTTTTTAGCATTTTACATAATTTTTGGATAAAAAAATCGTGTAAAAAACAATAAATTTTTTCAGAAATTTTTCGAAGAATTAAAAATGTATGAAAATTGAAAAGAAATTGAAATGAACAGAAAAATTTTTGCAAATGTTAATCAAAAAATGTTTGAAAATGAGCAAAAAATGTCAAAATTTTTGAATTTTCAAGATTTTTTAAGATATTTTTATAACTACTGGATATTTTATACATTATATATTATCAACAGGTTTCATCGGTTCCCCCCTCCCTGTAAAAGACCCCCCCCCCGCTAACAGTCCAGAACCCTCTCCCTTTGAAATGCCAAAAAACCTCGGAATTTTGCCTAAAAAATTTGAAAATTACGCCGCGAAATAATCCAGAAAGCGATGAATTTTAGGCTTGAAGGGCCATTGACAGGTAATTTCGCCATCAAAACCCGACAAAGCTGTAAATTGCGCGACTTTTGAAGTGTTTTTGTTGTCGGGTGGCGCCAAGAATCGGGGCCAGGCCCCCGGGCCGTCTCGACACAAATTGCGATCGACGGCCCGAGCCAAGCGGGGGTCTGGCAAGTGAATGGCTTCTTCTGCTGCTGAGGGTACGAAAAGGAGAAGCCAGGCAAGGGGGGCATAAAGCATCCCCCTGCCCTCCCGAATGGCCCTACTTGGCGCCGCTACCGGTTGAGAAGGGCTCCTGCTTTGGATACGTTTTCGAGTTCACATTAAAGGGATGGGAACAGCATGACTATGGATTTTTATTGCTGATTAATTAGACCTATCGTATGATACAAAATAATAGATGATGATCATAAATAGCAAAAAGTCGATTTTTCGACCAAAAAAGGTGATTTTAGACCAAAGCTTCGGATTTAAAGATGTTTTCTAAGTTTGGAGATGGGACTTGCCACTGGAGAAATGTCTAAGTTTTACAAAAAAACGGTATGAAATTGTTTAATATCAATTTACTAGTATTTACAGAGTAGAATAACGCTTCAAAACTCTGAAAAAAAAACCGCGAAACCAACTTTAACGCCAGGGCGTGGGGAAAATTTTGGCGGATGTTGGATAATGGACATTTCCGGTCCTCGGAATTCATCGAAAACTGATAAAAGCGATCAAAGCTTTAAAGATTACTACCAGGGTTGAAAAACCGCTTCGCGGCTTTTCAACCCTGGCCCCGTCCCGATCCCCGAACGGTCTCCACTTTGGATAGTTCTGGTCAAATAAAATAAAAACGATCTTCTTTGCTGGTTTATATAGGCGTCAACCACTTCCGGCGAATGCAAATTTTTGCTTAACAAAGTGATGCGACCGAATTTTAGCGAAAATCTACAATTTAATATCGAAAATGGCATTTTTGTGTAATCTGGTAGGTCGGCAGCCATGCCAAGCCGATTTCTCACCTAATGACATATCTCCCATACCTTAAAAACCTTCCCCCTGAACCGATACGTGTGGAACAGCCGGACGGAAGTTGCATTCAAATGCACACACACAGACACTATTTTTTTATATATAGTAGGAAGTAGGATAGTAGGATCTAGAAAAATACAAGTCTTACTAATACGCAACAGGGCAATATCGAATCTCTGAAAATCCGAGCCACCGGAAGGACATGTCTGGCTAGGCCAAATGAGGAGAAATGGGTCGGAAAGAAGGGGGCTTTAGAGGAGAGAGAGAGGGAGAGAGAGATAGAGAGAGAGAGAGGGAGGGAGAGAGAGAACCGCCGACAGCAGATACTACGTAAAAAGGGGGCCCAATATGAAAGAAAAAGAGACACGACGCCGCGGGCCCCGTCCTCCAAACGATTATCCGGGGACGGGGGCCCTCTCGGTCTTTTGGATCTCGGATCTCTCTCTCTCTCTCTCTCTCTCTCTCTCGTCCAAGGAACTATGCATGAACGGGCAGCACGTCAAGCCCTGCCTTCCTTGCTAGAGGGAGCGGTGTGGTTGTAGTAACGAATTGATATGCACGGAATTGGAGCGGGAGAGAGATAGGGGAGAGAGAGCGCGAGATGGTGAGTGGGTGAGAGAGAGCTAGAGACTGAGAGAGACGGGGAGAACGAGATAATCGGTGCAAGGAATAACACGGTATCTGACAAAAGAACCAAAAAACGAGGTTTAGAGGAAGTGAGAGAGTGAGCATGAGCGGGACCAAGAAAAAAATACAAAAAGCCACTCACCCGTTCATCTACCGGCACCGGCTTGGCGATGCACAACCGAACTGAACCCATCGGAGCGGCTTTTAAAACGGCAACTGCACGCTCGAGACTGAAAATTCAGAGACGTGCATAGGAATTCAGTGTAGTGAAATACCTAGCGCAGGACAGATCCTGTTTATTGACGGAGAGTAGACGATCACCGGGCACGATTCGGCCATCGGCTTGAGCAACTCCGCCGGGGACGAGTGAACGTACCACTACTACTGACGAAGCGGGATGGCGAGGGTCCTGAAAACTCTCTCAGTCTTTCTCTCTCTCCCTCTCTCTCTCTCTCTCTCCTCTCTCTTCTCAATCTCTCTCTCTCTCTCTACCCACCTTATAATCAGCCACCGAGAATCCGAGCCCTCTCGAATCCTTGTGCAACCAGACGACCACCGGAACACATTCCCAAACCGCCAATCCGGTCAACGGCTCCAGCGACCTGGCTCTCATCCGGCTACCCGACGCCCGCGGCTCGTACTCCTCGTCCTGAGGTGTGTACCGTACTCTCCATACTTAAAAACATACCACATTCGAATCGTCCGGCTGCCGACTACAACTCGGCAAACACGGGTCCGACTTGGCCTTGGTGACTTGTTGACTAGCTGAGGCAAGGAGGGGATAGCACTGAGGGAGTGAGCCAAGGGGAGCATCACCCGATGGCATCCACATTGAAATCGTTTCCGCCTGAAAAAGGTTAGCATGAGAGGCTTCGTCATAAAATTCAAGATTCCTGAAGAATCTGTGCTAGATCGCCTCCTTCCTTAGGCCTGGCTAGCTTCAGAAGGAGCTTGAGCTTCGGATTCCCCGATCGTCTCTGCTAGCTTGCCTCCCTAAGGTTCTTTGCCAGCTTTCCATCAGCTTTAACTTGTCTGTTATCGGGAGTAGCTTTGGAGTAAGATTCCAAAAAAGGTCCGTGCTAGATCACCTCCCAAAATATCTCTGCTAGGCCAATTCTTCCGGTTCCAATTCCCCAAAAATCTCCGTTAGTTTGCTCTCCCCCAGCCTTACCTTTCTGGCAATGACCAGCGTCACCGGGGCGTTCGCCGAAACTGCTCGTGCCAGGGCGTCCCTGACGGTGACGTGGGACTCGCCGTAGACGTGCACATGGTTCACCTGGAAATTGGAGAATAGCGTAGTCAAGCAAAAGCTAATTTTTGAATTTTAGCTTCGAATTTTCGATGCCCTGAAAGCCAAATCAGCCAACCTGCAGCAGTTCATCTCCGGCCTGGAGAAGCCCGGCGGCAGGTCCGTCTCGTCGGATCGAGCCGATGTAATGGTGGGGGCAGAGGGCGGTACCCTCTACCACATCTACAGTACCCTCCAGGGCGACTCCTAACCCTCCATCACCACCTCCGCCTCCTCGATCGGGTCGGATCACGGATTGGATGATGTCGACGTCGCCTAGAAGTTCAGGGATAGAGAGCGGGAAAGTGAGAGAGGGGAAGAGAGCGAGAGAGACTGAGCGAGACTGAGAGAGAGAGAGCGCGCGCGCACCTTCTATCCGCTGCTTCCAAAACGCTACCAATTCCGGATCCGACGATTGCACATCGATCACCTGCGTCTCCGTCTCCTAAAATCAACAAGATTTCGTCGTGCATTTTCCACATTCCGCTACGCTACGCTACAACGACACACTCCCCCAAGCAAGCACCCTTGATTTTCCCCCCTACTCCGATTCCATACTATGGCCAAACCGGGCCCGGGTCGGCTTCTCCTGCACTCGGCCCACTCTGCATTCAAATCAAATTTGGGGCCGGTCTTCTTCCCCTATAGGGTGAGGGCCCAGATTTTGGGTGCAAGTTGTAGGAGAGGGAGAGAGAGAGAGAGAGGAGAGAGAGAGAGAGAGAGAGAGAGAGAGAGAGAAAGAGAGAGCGTCGCCAGGATTGATCCGAATCTTTCTAAAAAAGCGGAAAACGTAAACAAAAATATTTTAAAGCCATCGTGAGGCTAAATATTCCTTTTTACCATTTTAAATCGAGTTGAACAGCTCGAATTTGAGGGGATTTGGTTTTTTAAAGGGCTACCGACAGCTCGAACCGAATATTTTATGGATTTTTATTCTACCATGCCATCACTCCCTATTCTAGGCTATTCTACTGTAATCACAAAAGCCAAAACCACACAAGGGCACGCGCTACGGTGGTGCAAAAATTTTGTAAAAATTAGCATACACCGACTTGTCTTTGCAGCATGTTCAGACAGAGGGCCTGCGGGCTGTCGGCGTGGAAGCGGACCAGGCTAAAAAATTACCCGATTTTCCGGTATCTCTCTCTCGTTCTCTCTCTCTCTTTCTCTCTATTTCTCGCTCTCTCTCTCTCTCTCTCTCCCTTCCTCACCTCAACGCCACCTTCTGCCCACTTCTAACCAGCGTCTTCACAGAGTCGGCGTGCGACAGGTGCTCCAACGATTCGCCATTTACCTGGAAATATTTCAATCGTATTTAAAAGGCCGTTTGCGAGAGACCCGAACAAGGCTTGGCACAGTTTTTTTCGACCCCCATTTTTTGATGCCATCTGATAGAGCGTGGTCGAATTAGAGGAATCGCACTAATTTGGGATTTTTAAATTAACATTTTCCTGGTTAAACAAGGCGTTAAAGTTGCCAACGTCGAAAATTTATCTCGACGACTACTTGCCAGAATTGGCTGAAACTTTGTGACTAGGCCTAATTTGGGATGGGGATCATTTTTCTAATACATCGCGAAGCACGAAAATTAGCAGAACTTAGTTAAATTGCATACCCAAAACAGTTTTTGCCGAATTTCAAATTAACGGCGAGTCGGCCGCAAGCTGGAAATAGGCTAGAAAGATGCGCAAAATTTTTCTGCATCGATTGATGTATCATTTAGGTGGCGGTCAGGTCGCCGTTTTCTCACAGCGAGCTTTTTATAGCTGAAGAATGGTCTGAAAATCTGACTAAAATGGAAAATTTTGCGATTTTCTATGTTTTGACCCACGGGATCACATTTAACGATCACGCCAAGCTAAACGCAAAAATTAGCAAAACGAAATTCGACATTTGAAGGAGTGCTTGTTTTGGGCGGGAATCGAACCGGGACCCCCCGCCTGGGAGCCCTGTGGCGCAGTGAGTAGAGCGTCGGCGTGCCAATCCAGAGCCACCGCCAGTTCAATCCCAGCTCCCTCTCATAAGCCGAATTTCTTTTTGCTCTTTTTTGCAATCGACTTGGCATGATTTCTTGATGGGTTTTGACTACTCCGATATGTAAATACTACAATATTTTCCATTTTAGTCAGATTTTCAGACCATTCTTCAGCTATAAAAAGCTCGCTGTGAGAAAACGGCGACCTGACCGCCACCTAAATGATACATCAATCGATGCAGAAAAATTTTGCGCATCTTTCTAGCCTATTTCCAGCTTGCGGCCGACTCGCCGTTAATTTGAAATTCGGCAAAAACTGTTTTGGGTATGCAATTTAACTAAGTTCTGCTAATTTTCGTGCTTCGCGATGTATTAGAAAAATGATCCCCATCCCAAATTAGGCCTAGTCACAAAGTTTCAGCCAATTCTGGCAAGTAGTCGTCGAGATAAATTTTCGACGTTGGCAACTTTAACGCCTTGTTTAACCAGGAAAATGTTAATTTAAAAATCCCAAATTAGTGCGATTCCTCTAATTCGACCACGCTCTATCAGATGGCATCAAAAAATGGGGGTCGAAAAAAACTGTGCCAAGCTATAATGGGGACTGTTCGAGTGACTCGCGGACGGCCTTTTAAATTATTTTAAGGACCGTCGAAGGCAAAAAAAAAGTAGGATGGTTTCCGTACCTTTAGAATTAGGTCGTTCTGGTGGACGAGTTTAGATCTGAGCGCGGCGCTTCCTTTGACCAGACTTTTGACGAAGACACCGCCGATTTCTTCTGAAACTCTGGTGTTTTAAGGGGCTTGGAAGGCAAGGCTTGAGCCATAAAATCTGCTAATAGGATAGGAAATTAATCAGTAAGTTCCCTGGCTCAAATGGTTTCTGCTAGGTTGCCCCGACTAGTCGCTCGATTCCTACCCGGTCCCTGCTAGTTTGCCGGCAAGGATAGTCGGAAATAAAAGCGTACTTGCCTGCCAAAGCTTCCCAAATACTCTCTGCTAGCTTGCCGCCCTGCTCTACGAAGCCGAAGAGCTACAGAATTCCGATACCGTCGTTGTTAGCTTATCACAGCCAGCTAGCAAATAAAAATCAAAAGGCTCCAAGCTGCTCAGAAATTCCTTAATGATCACTGCTAGCTTGCCACAGCCGCTCGAGGTAAGAGGATGGCTTCACGCCACGAAAAAAATTCCCAAATGACCTTTGCTAGCATACCTAATCAGAAAAAGTCATCGAGGGCGACGAAGCCAAAAATTACAAATTTCCAATTGATATCTGTCTGCTAGCTGGCCATGTTCAGTTAATGGAATTTTCGACGGGTTGTTGGCCAGAGGGTGATAGAAAAGAGAGACATATTGAGAGAGAGGGAGAGAGAGAGGGAGAGAGAGAGAGAGAGAAATAGAGAGGAGATAAAGCCGACATAGATGAGATCCTCCCCCCCAAATTGGGCTACTTGGGGGTGTCAAAAAAGGGCTGACAAGAAGAAGAAGACGAAGCCGATGTGTGGAACGCCCGAAGGGAAAGAGGAACGTGATGGACATCGTGCAGATGGAAGGGAAGAGGGGAGGAGAACGCAAAAAGGGGAAGAAGCCGAAAACCTAGACATTGAAGAGAGGTGGGGAGCTATAGTCTGACTCGACAGAAGGAGGAGGAGGGGCCTTCACTGCAAAATTGATAGACTTGACTGGGTGGAGGGGGAGGATGGGACGATGGAATTTCCGGTCGGTGACAACTTCCAGGGGGGTCTGTGATCAGCTTTAGGGAAGATTTTGGCTTCAATTTGTCTTTAAAGGGGTCAGAAAGCCCGCCGAAATGGTGTTTCCGATTAGACTTCATTCAATGGAATATGAGAGGTGGTCAATTGCGTAGTGGGAATGAGCATGAGATAGTGAGCAAGAGTGAGACAAAGGAGCGGGAGAGAGGGACTGCGAGAGGGACGAGAGAGAGCGAAAGGGAAGGAGGGAGAGAGCGATCAATGGAAAGAAATGGTGAATAATAGTCAACCACAAGTTCGAGCTGTTCAGAAAACGCTGGAAATTCAGCGGGTGAATGGGATCGTCAACGGCTAATTTTATTGTTCGATCTGAGCGAGAGAGCGAGAGAGGAAGCGAGAGAGTGAGTGCGAGAGTGAAAGAGATAGAGAGAGAGGGAGAGCGAGAGAGCGAGAGAGAGAGAGAGGGAGAGAGAGGGAGAGAGACTCTCAAAAATCCACCATTAACCGATTACGATATCTAACTCCCAAAAACCCCCAAAAAAAGCTCCATACCTTTCCTATGCACATATCCAGCCACCGTAATCCCAAGGCCCATCGTTGGATGCCTTCCCAGCTCGACCTCCACAACATCATACTTCCCAGCATTTTCCCAGTTCTCCCGCAGAAACACGGTCAGCGCCTAAATGATGTCCTTCTTACAGTACTCCACTTGTCAGATTTGGTAGAAGAAAGGCCGTTCCGGACAATCGTGTCAAGCTGGTAGACTGAGAGAAGCTATGGTCCCGGCACGGCCCGGAAATATACGGTAGGTGGCGCGGTGTGGAAAAGTATAAGAAACCGTCAAAAGGAAAGGAAGGAAAAACGGGACACTGTGTTTTATTGTAGTACGCGACACTCCGAAGAGAGTACAGAGTACATAGTGCACCTCAGTACGCCTCTTGCTTTTTTACTTCACTCGTTTTTTGGGTTGAAAACCATAGAAAAAAGAGCGTAAAAAAGTCGAGTGCTGAGGTGTGGCACAGAATACGGTAATTAAAAATTATTCATGCATTTTTGGTTTTTTCGGACATGCCATGTAAATATTAGACATATAGACACGGATAGGAAAAAAGGTGTCGACATGGCATACAGAAAAAAGGTGTTGGTAAGTGGGACGAGACGGCCGGACAATACGGGAGAGAGAGAGAGAAAGAGAGAGAGAGAGAGAGAGAGAGAGAGAGTAAGAGAGAGAGAGAGGGAGAGAGACAGGGAGAAAAAGCGAGAGCGAGCGAGTGAGAGATAGCGAGTGAGTTAGAGAGCGCGCGAGAGATATAGGAATCGAGAGGGTGAAAGAGAGCAAGAGAGAGGTAGAGGTAGAGAGAGAGCGAGAGCGAGAGCGAGCGAGTGAGAGATAGCGAGATCGAGAGGGTGAGAGAGAGGTAGAGATAGAGAGAGAGCGAGAGAGAGAGAGAGGGAGAGAGAGCGAGAGAGAGAGAGAAAGAGAACAAGTAAGAACGTTGCCAGGAGAGTGCCTTAAGGAGAAGATTTATCTCAATGACTACCTTCGCATTTATGGGCGTGCTGATTAGGTGCTAGAAGGGCAGGGAATTTATTTAACGTATCATTTTATACATTAAAATCTAGGTATTTTTGCTAAAAATCTTTAAGCTAGGCTCTATTCGCTAAATTCCTAAAAAAATTAACACAATAAACTTACCATCTCTTGAAGAGCCTTCAGCGACATGGTTGGGGAGATCGGGGAGCCGGCTGGCTCGCTAAAAATGTGAATATTTTTTTAAATATGATTTTTGCGTATTTTTAGACATAGCTTGAGCACAAATAAAACTAAAAATGCGAAATTCAAGTCTCTCACCTATGCCTAGCCGCCAAGCTAGATTTTCTACTTTCCGCGGCAATACTCTGCGCGCCGGACGTCGATGGGGGTGTATTGTGGGGAGTCGAGTTTTTGCGAGAGTCCGAGGTGGGCGGTTGTGGGGCATTGGATTGAGAGGCTGATGGCTCGGGTTCAGGTTCTGCAGGGTCGGGCTTTTCCTCGGGGACATCGGACGTCGGCTCGTTTTCCTATAGTTATGAAATTTTAAAGGACCTGGAAATGCCGAAATTATGCAGTTTAGGGGAGGCAGCTGCACGCCTAGCAGCCGCGTCGCGTGCGTGCTCTGCGGTTGACGCGACGCAACCGCAACAAGTTCACGGGGGAAAATGCGAGAATCAGAGACGCAAAGAGAGGGAGAGAAAGAGAGAAAGAGAGAGAGAGAGAGAGAGAGAGAGAGAGAGAGAGAAAGAAAGAAAGAGAAAGTGAGTGAGAGAGCGAGCGAGCGACAGAGAAAACGAGAGATAGGGAGAGCGATAGCGATAGTGAGAGTGAGAGAGCGAGCGACTGAGAAAACGAGCGAGAGAGAGGAGAGCGAGAGGTATAGCGAGAGAGAGAGAGAGTGAGTGAGAGTGAGGGAGTGAGATAGCGAGCGAGAGGGAAAACGAGCGAGAGAGAGGAGAGCGGGAGGGATAGCGAGAGAGAGAGAGAGAGAGAGAGAGAGAGAGAGAGAGAACGATAGCACCTTAAAGTTAGATCCCACCTTTTCCGACGTCGTCGGCTCCAAATGGGCCCTCCGTCCTCTTCGCTCCTCCTCCAGCTGGCTGGGATTCAACGCCGATTTTGTGGCCATCGTCCAGCAGTCTGAAAACAAACAGCTTTCGACTAATTTCAAAGCTTTAAAACTAAAGCTAAAGCGCCGGAAACCCAATAATAATTCCGATTTATTACGCCCAGGCGCTGAATCTCAAAAATTCATCCCAAAAAAGGGTCACAGAATAGAATGGATTGGGTGGGGGAGTGTCGAGACCCCGCTGAAAAAGAAGGAGAAGCAGAAGAAATTCAGCGCCTGTGCTCGGTTGAAATGGTGGAAGGAATTTCGGGCGGCCAATCGAATTTTGCCCCGTCGTCGTCGTGGAGAGACCCCCGCTGAACAGGGACGGGGGTGTCCCCAAGGATTGAAGGGGAGGGGGAGGAGAAGATGTGCATGGCACGGCATTTTTTAGCAACAGGTTGAGCATCAGGCGATAGAGCGTTAAAGGGAACAGAAAGGTGGGTCAACGCGGTTGAGTGAAGCACGCATTAATGACAGCTTTGCGCAGGCTTTCCTTTCAAATCTTTCTGGCTTACAATCGGTGCTTTTTTGAGTGATCGGCAAAAGCTTACGAGACCTAGCTCATTCGACAGAGAATCCTATTCTGAACAAGACCCCTTTGTTCTTTTTTGCGGAATCCCTGATTTTAAAAAATTTTAAAACTGCACCCAAAAGCCTCTCTTTTTGCCCGAAAGGCACTCATAGTAAGAGACGGTCATTGGTATTTTAATTTTATAAAATCAGGGATTGCCATGCCGCAAAAAAGGACGACGGAGTCTTGCTCAGAATTGAATTTTCTATCGAATGAGCTAGGTCTCGCAAGGTTTTGCCGATGACTAAAAAAAGCTTTCGTTATTAGTCGCATTAAGGGAGGCGTACGTGGACGTGTCGCGGGCGCGCTGCGCGGTAACCAGTGGTTTTTAGGTGACCGTAACACGCGCTCTACGTTTTCATCTACGTTTTAAAGGGCAAGTTCAGGCAAGATCCTCGGTGGATTTTGTTGGTTTTGGTTTCGTTAAAGGGACAGGGCAGGAAAATAGCAGGAATTTTTAGTGTTCATAGGCCATCCTCAAGCCACTCACCAGCCGTATCTTCCGGTTTCTCGGTTCCGTTAATCGGCCGCCCGACGATCATCTCCACGAGGTTCTCTTGTTGGCGCAGAATTGTGGCCACCTGAAAATCCAAATGCAATAAAATTAAACAATTAACATTGTTTATGTAAATTAAGGTTAAACAATCAATACAAAATTTACATTGCTTTGAAGACAACTCGATTTACCTGTTGGCTGGTCATCCCCTGCGTGTTGATGTTGCCCACCTGGAGGATGTGGTCACCGGAGCGGAGTCGTTGGTCCTGAAGCTGTTTTAAAGGGAGATGGAGGGACATTGGCGAACATTTTTGGTTTTTGGCTGGCTTAGCGAGTTCTTTACAAAAGTCGCGATCGAAAATCGGATTTTGACGGCGGCTTAGTGTATAGCGAGTTTGCTACCAAACTACGGACCAGGGGTCGATTCCTGTCCATGGCTAATTGTCAAAATATCGCTACAAATGCTCTCGACGAGACGAAAAACGACCTTAAAGGGGCAACGACAGCAAAAACACTGTTTCCGGGTTTTCACGAGAGTCTAGTGGCTAGCGATCTTGGCTGTCAATCTGGGGACCAGGGTTCGATTCCCGGTCACGTCAGTATCGAAAAGTAGGCATATCACACTTTTAAAGGGCGATGGATGCCAAAAACTCATAGCTTTCCCGATCTGAACGATGGCCCAGTGGCTAGTAAGTTTCGCTACCAATCTTGGGTCGAGGGTTCGAATCCCGTAGTCATGAAATTTTTTGTTTTTTTGCTAAGCCTTTAACAAACCTTATTAGCCGGGCTGCCGGGCAAAATGGTCTTGACGACGACGCCCGTGGACGTGCCGCCAACGATGCCGAATCCGAGCCCACCGTTCAGCACCTCCAAACGGACCACCTCCACCTGTGTCCATTCACCCGACAGCTGAAATTACATTGGATTTAAGGATACTGAAGGTTTGAAAATTTTCAATTTTTCATTTAACCAATTTTAGATTTTTACACTCGACTATAGCTGCTCAAACCTTTGGCCTCAACCGGGGAGACCCATCCTCCGCCCTGAGCACCAGCTGAACCTGGCTGGCAATCATTTCTGGCGCGACATCCGGGTACTGGGCAGAAATTTTTGAGGAAACCAGAGCCAGAAAACCATCGGAAAAATCAGGAACCGTTTCAAAGAGATGCTAAAGGCAGGAGAGATCGATAAAGAAAAACATAGCAAAAAATACCGATTTTCGCATCTAGGCAGCCGAAAAATATCGACAAGGTTTTCGAAAATTTGTCTTAAAGGGGTTGCGAAGGCAGTATGGCTTTATGGCTGCCAAAAATTGGAAATACCGATTTTTGAAGAAATCCAAAAATGCCGATTTTACTTCCGAATTCTCAGAAATATTATAAAGACATCAAAATAATTTTTAAGAGAAATTCGGACAACCTGAGATATAGATTTTGTTCAGGAAAATGGTAAGTTTGATGAAAAATTCGAAAACCCCCGATTTTCGACTTCTAAAATCCAGGAAAAAGGGCATTGTTTAGGGTTTGTTGAGGTGGGTATAGCCATCCATCCGGTCTCTACCCCCAAAAGGCAACACAATGGGTGCTCGAGGTGGGGGAGGAGGAGGGGGAGGAGGAGGAGATGTGGAATCGAATCAGACCCATCTCTTCTAGTCACAACCCATTCCACCTTGGCCCAACCCACAATTGGGCCTTCAAATTGACTCTGGCTCTCTCTTTCTCTCTCTCTCTCTCTCTCTCTCTCTCTCTCTCTCTCTCTCTCTCCCTCGCTATCTCGAAGATTCTATGCAAATCGCTGGGGCAGATGGACTATGGAATTTGGTACCGAACCAGGGTTTGGAGGTCTATTAAAGGATTGTGAGAGGAAAGTTCCAAAAATCCATGGACACCAACCGTAAAAGGTATCGAACTACGTATAAAAGCAAGATCCGAGCTACTCGGGAGGCTAAAGGGATGGTGACAGCAAAAACGAGCATAAACGCTTCAGCAGACCAGACATGAGTTCTGATCCGTTAGCGGGGGGGGATCGGAGCTATACGACTCCGGCTTCCCTTTCGGCCAATTGGAATTCCGCCCCCTCGTTAACGCACTAGAATCCAAGGATGCTCAAAGCGAGAACTCTATGAAACTTTTAGCATGTTTTCAAGGGATGGCGACACCGGGAATTGGCGAAAAATCAGGGAAGAAGGCGATTAAAGGGCTATTGGCAGCAAGCCGAGACCCAGGGCCTGCTAGCAGTGATGATTTGGGATAGCGCAATGATGGACTGATGTCACGCTAGCAAAGTTCATTGTGGAAATCGCCAAAATTGAAAAATCTTGAGTAATCCCTAGGAATCGATCAATCATACCCGGTGGTCAAACCCTGATCAATCGGCTGTCCGGGCAAAATTAGCGAAATGATCGAGGAGGTGTGGAAAGCGAGAGAGAGAGAGAGAGAGAGAGAGAGAGAGAGACCGGGGCTTATGGTCAGCTGTCCGCCACCTGGGAGAGGTGAAGCCGTAGGGCAGCGGGGAATGATGTTAAAAGGGCGGTGTCCGGAAACGATGTGCCCGCGGTGTGTCTGAGGGGGGTAGATCGACTCCCAGGGCACCGGTAACCGGATCCGAAGAACAGCCCATCCCCCCCTCTACCCCCCTCTACGTCCAACCATCTTTATGTTCGCGGCCAGGACGGCGCCAGGGGGAATTTTGAGGTGAATTCTGGAATTCAGGGTATATTAAATCAACTTAAAAGAAGAAGTTGTCAGACGTAAGCTTTTTGCAGGTTTACGGTTATCACGAACGGTTTTTTAGCGACGGTAACAAGATTATTAATTATTAACTATCCTATAAGCGAGAAAAGTATGTGTGTTTTCTGTACGGCCGTTTTCTCGGCCGTCAAGCCGCGTTTCGAGCTGATTTTTGGCATGGCGGTGGGAAATGTCACTCATAAAAAACGGTTTTTAGGATTTTTCGAAATTTTTTGATTTAACGATTTTACAAGCAAAAATGTGAAAAATCCTTAACATTTTTGGGTACGCACGTTGTCCGGAACTTTTCTCGGCCCCTAGAGGGAATTGGGGTCTCATTTTTCGAGGGTAGATGGGAAAAGTAATTCCCCAGATACATTTTTTCGGATTTTGCAAAAATCTTTAAAATAAAGTTTTTATGTGTATTTTTCTGAAAGGTCCTTAATAAATCGCGGAATGGGCCGTGGTGTCCAGGCCATAACTCGACGCCCTGATGGAATTCCGGGCTGAAATTTGGATCGTTTATGCAATCAATGGTGCGGATCATGCGCATCTTATTATTTTTGCAAATTTTCCACAGATTCAAACTCAAAAATAGAATTTTGTAAAGTAATCAGAAGGCCTCCCTCCGGGATCCTTGGTCACCCTTATCTTTGCCCCCGCCTCCCCAGGACAGAACAGGCCTTTCCGGCCGCCTCCTCCCATGTCCTCTTTGGTGTAGTGGATTAGCTCACGGCCTACCACGCGCAGGGTCGTAAGTTCGGATCCTGGGGGAATTTCGATTTTTGCTTTTTGGTAGTTCGGCAACAAAACATATTTCTAGGGTCTCGGTGTGCAAGATTTCGGTCTGGCTCTCGCTCTAGCGCCGCAGGCCAAAGCAAGGCCCCTGGCTCGGGCTCTCGCGCCGCAGGCCAGATCCTGGAGAAAAACCAGTAGCTAGCAAAGATTCTAGCGCAACGCTGGCTCTGGCGCCGCAGGCCAAAGAATGGTTCCTTCGCTCAGGTTCGAGCGCCGCAGGCTAAAAAAGAGGGTATTCAAATTCATGGTTCCTGGACGTGGTCCAGTGGAAAATGGCCGCGAAGCGGTCTTTTTCCACTGGTTAATTATAAATTCAGACTCTAAGAGGTGTGGAATCTGCAAAAGACTATGGCACGTAATTAGCATTGTATAAACATTTAAAAGTTCACTGAAAAACTCGCATTTCGAAAATCAGCAACAAGACCCTTTTTTACAAAAGGTTGGCACGTAGCCAAAAGTTCAAAGCAGCCGAAAGCCATATGCCAATTATAGAATCAGAGAGAAAGCGAGAGAGAGAGAGAGAGAGAGAGAAAAAGCGAGAGAGAGAACGAGAGAAACAGAGGCCCGGGCCACAAATCTCAGGGGACTGGCTGCGGAAATTAGCGGAATGTGGGAACGGCTAAAAACAGCCGGAGTGATGGATGGAATGGGTGGAAAGGTCTGGACGGAAAGGAAACATACATACGGCAGGTGAAACACGAGATCGAGCTGGTCAGGAAAAAGTTGGAAATTCAGTAGTTTTTGAATGGGATCTTGATCGACTAATTTTATTACCGCAGAGAGCGAGAGAGAGAGAGAGAGAGAGAGAGAGAGAGAGAGAGAGAGAGAGAGAGAGGGAGCAGGGTATGAGCAATCCCTCAAATTCCAAAAAAACCCAAAATTTAACAAATAAAACGTACCACCATGGGGGTGCTTTCCCGTAGGGCGGCGACAGCGACGGTGACGCCGGTGCGCACGCAGCGCCCTGCGATCCCGCTCCACTCGGCCTGCAAAAAATCAGATCGTTCCCGTTGTCAAGAAATGTTTTTAGTACCGAAAACCAAAAATTTTATGACGTCACCACGCGTCAAAAGATAAAATTAAGGATTTTGTAAGATAGAAGACACTTTAAAGGCAAGGATTTTCGGAACAATAATTTTTCATTGAAAAAAAGTTCATGGCTGTGTCGGGTTATGAAACTCGTATTCTTTATTCGGGACTTCTAACGAATCGAATAGTAAAATACCGACAATAACGAAATGTCATAATCAAGCTAAATCGAATTTTTTCAGATTTTTAAATACGTTTTTTAAATTCTAAATTTTTCAAAACCAAATTTTTTGGAAGATTTTCTACGATTTAATCGGATCGCTATCAAAGGAAATAAGGATTAGAAAAGGAAATTCTTGGTTTTATACTGTTTTCAGACAAGATTCGTAAATTCGAGGAGAAATCCGCTGCTTTCTAGCCCCTTCAAAGTTTAAAAAAAAAAACTAAAAAACGGGCGGCAACTATCAAAGACTACATCCCCCGCATCGATACAACCACCCCGGAGAAACATAATGCCAAGTGGTGTGCGTGTGTCGTGCGTGTCTATAGGACTGCCCTGGAATCCGGGTGGGCCCCCCGATATTTGGGAGGGGACCATGGATATTACTGGGGGAGGGCCAAAGGGGGGAGGAGGAGGAGGACAAGGGACATTCGAACAGACGAATATACTCTTTCTTTCTCACTCTCTCTCTCCCTGTCTCTCTCACTCTCGCTCTCGTCAGGTCCTTGGCCACAGGACGACGACGTCAAAAATTATGATGGTCTCACTGGCACGTTGAGGAGGAGGAGGAGGGCCCCGAAATGAGGGCATCATTATCGGGTCCCGGGGAAATGGATGGGGCTGGTTGATGGATATACGCCGGCAGAATTCTGGCAAAAATCCCGATAGTAAAATCCCGACAGCCAAAACGCCGACGGCCGAAAGTTCGCATCCCGAAGTTCGAATACCGACACCCCAAAGTCCGAACACTTGACACTCTGACGCTAAACTCGAAATGGCAAAACCCCGACAGCTAAAAATTCTGGCAGGTGTAAAATCTCGACAGCCATAATCGCTCCAGCAAAAATGCCGACAGACCTAATCGCGAGTAAGAAAATACCGACAACCATAGTCACAGCACCACAAAATTCCGACATAAGAAGACGCGAAAATCCCGACATTACTTGTAGCAAAAATCTCGACAACTGAAATCCCGACGGCCCGAATTCCGACAGCCTAAATGACAATAGCCTGTCCTGCTGGTTTCCGGCATTATAGTCTTCGGCATTTTAGCCTGTCCGGATTACTGCGTTTTACGAGTTTTACGCCCACATAGTTGCTCAAAAATTTTAAAATGTTAAAAAATATAAATGAAAAATTTTCTGTCCTTGATTTTATTCTAGAAGCTCTTTTTTATTTTTTTTTTATTCACTAATGCTCCTGCAAACATAATTTTTTTGGGAATGTGTCATATCTTGCCAAAAATCACAAGTCCGGAAAGGTGTTGCTTGGTTCCCCACGGGATCCCCCTGCTTTTTG